GGATTGCCTTAACATTTTTTTCTGTAGATCAGTTGATCTACCTCATTTATCCTTGGGAATCCTCTCCAGTCTGAGGTTGTGCACAATGAAGATAAGTTCAAGTTTTTTGCCAGAATGAAAAGAATGACCCTTAGTTCAATTTTCAGTAGATTCCTTGTTTGCCTTTGTAGTCCCAGGAGCCTGGTTACAAGGTTTTCTTTACTTTCTGCATTTCTTCCAGCGTTCTGATTTTCCGAGTCCCAACAGAATTGCCCGCCAAACTGCTTACATCATTCTAAAGCATTTCTAGGCAGCATCTCCAAACTTGCCCAGATTTTCCCCACAAACTAAATCTGTAGTAAGTAGACTTTCACAAAACAGGATAGGCTCCAATAGGCTGAACAAAAGAAGTAGGTTTCATAAACAGGAAAAGGCCTAGCCAAAAAAATAAACAAACAAACAAAAATGCCAAAGAGCAGATTGGTCATTTCAAAGTGACTTTCTTACAACATGGGGACATGGAAACAGAATAATAGAAATTAATGTTGCATGAGTCCAGGTTGATTGTTTTGTAAGGATTAGAACAGAGAGAAGTTCCTTTATATACAGAAACTGAGTTGTTTGGGAAATTAGTTGTTTTTCCTAATTTGTTAGAAGATCCGATCATTAATATAAATGACTCCATTTGGAATTCTAGTATGGACTCTTAGGCCCAAGTGAAGGAAGTTAATCCAAATCACTGGCCTCCAATAGTATTTATGTAGCACTAGCAAACTATTCATTACTTTGTTGGGAGCCACTGAAGATGGAAATTGGTGATATGTGGGAGGGCAGGACAAGTCCAGAGTGCAGACTGCAGTCAGGTTATCTTAGTCTTGAGAAGAGTGTCCTGCCTAGTCAGTCAGCATTAGTCAGTAGGCAGGCTTGTGTCACATGATACTGACTTCAAGAAGGTTTCAGTTCTGTGGGTTGTCTGCCAGTCAGGCAGCAGGCCACCACCTGACCTAGCTCTTGTCTTTTGCCTATCTTTTCCTCATTCCTGCCCCTTTTCTCCCCAGTGTACCCAAGATACCAATGAGTCCTACATCATTTTGCTTTATGTTAGAATCTTTACCAAGACTCCATAAAATGGTATCTAGGAAGTGTTAATAGATTTTTTTTAAAAGGATTCTCTATATAATAAATGTAGGAAAAAATCTATTCTGCATTTCCCCCTTAGAAACTAGCAACATATATTCATGTACTAAACAGTTTACAAGTAATTTAGAGGTGGTAGATAGTCTTGGATAGTAGATAGTGTTAGAGCTAGTCAGGAGTCAAAAATAGTCTTGTGTTTTTTTTCTCTGAGCTGTGATTTTTGCCAGGTTTTGCATGTGAGTACATCTGCATGCCTTTTCTCTTGTTAAATCTTTGTTATTTAGTGAACCTACAGAGGGTGGCGTGGAGATTTGCCTTCTCTTCTACATCAGTTTGCTTCTTTGTACTTCAGCAACGTTTAGCATGCATCCGGAGTAAATCATGAACAATAAAGACATCAATTCAACTTCATTGAAAACCAAGGTAAACAAAGGAGGGAGAATAGTTACATTACACAGTATTTATGATATAGAGCTCTAGCATCTTATTTTAATTTTTATTCAGAAACTCTTGTAGTTGATTTGATTTTATCAAGAAATATAATTAAAGCAACTATTAGATAACTGGAACTATGGTACTATGTGATAGGTAAGATTTATAATTTATTCTAATAAAAATGATACTGCTTTCCTTGTTCTTGTAGAGACATTCATGTATCATCATTCTTATTAATGTGAGCAGTCATTAACTTTCACAGCAGTGTTATCTGTCCATCTAGTTTAAATATTTTTTAAATTTTGTTTTTACTAATAACATAAAAATTATACATAATAATGAAGTACAATGTGATAATTTCATTATATTGCATACTGGATAGTATTCAAGTAAGGTTAAATACATCTGTCCCAACAAACATCATTTTATGTGAACACCTTCAAAATTCTTTAATTATTTGAAGCTCACAGTCTATTATTTTTATCTGTAGTCCACTTAGTGTCAGTCGCACACGATAGCTTCTTGTGCCTGTGTTGCTGTGTTTATTGTCCATTACTCAGCCTTGCCTCAGGTCTTGTCACCTCACCCTTACATTCCAATCTATGTAAGAACGGCAGCTTTAGTTTCCACATGAGAGAGATCATTCGATTTTCTGTGCCTGGTTTCTTTCACTTTCACTCTAGTTCTCTTTCCATGTTGCTGCAAAAGACAGAGTCCCATTCTTTTATATTGGTGAATAGTATTCCATTGTGTGCTTTATCACATTTTTAGAAAGCCATTCATCATTGCATGGATACTTAGACTGTTTCTTTTTCTTAGCTGTTGTGAATACTGCTGCAGTGAACGTGGAAGTGCAGATGTCTCCTTGGCACACTGATTTTATTTCCTTTGGTCATAAACCAGTCTGAGGTTCGGCACTGGTTAGATTTTTAATTCTTTGCAGAACCTCCATACTGTTGTCCATACTGGCTGTACTATATATTCCTGCTAGTAGTATGTAAGGCATTTTCTCTACATACTTGCCAGTCGTTATCTTAGTGTTATTAATAATAGCCATTCTTATCGGGGTGAAATGATATCTCATTCTGCTTCAAATTTGTATTTTTGTGATAATTACTAATGTTGGTTTTGTTTCTTATATCTCTATCGGCCATTTATTTGTATATGTCTTTTGAGGTCTTTGTTTAGATATATTCCCTATTTTTTATTTATTTTACTTTTGCTGTTGAGTTTTGAAGTCCCTTATCCTGGATATCAATTCCTTATCAAATATATAGTTTGTGAATATTATTTTTCTTCTATAGGTTGTCTCTTCACTCTGTTGCTGTTTCTTTTGCTGTATAGAAGATATTTAGTTTAATCCCATTTGTTTGTACTCGATTTTGTTTTTGGTTTTTTTTTTTTCAGTTCTTTTGGGTAAATATCTTGGAGTGGAATTGACGGGATCATGTAGTAATTTTATTTAACTTTTTTATGGTGCTGGGAAAATAACCTAGGGTCTCATGCATGCTAGGCAAGTGCTCTACCGCTGGAGTACATTCCCAGCACTATGTCTTACTATCCAAGGAATCATCAGACTGTTTCCTAGCAATGTGTAAGGATTCCAGTCTTCACACGTTCACCAGAAGTTGTTCTCTCTCTTCTTCTATTATAGCTATTCTAATGGGTAAAAGGATATTTCTCTAATGACTAATTATGTTCATTATTTTAAAAATATGTTCATCAATTCTTCCATGGAGAAATGTCTTCTCAAGCCTGTTGCCTCTTTGAAAATTGACTTGTCTTTTGTTCTTGAGTTATGATTATTTATGTATTTTGTGTATCATATTTGTCAAATCTGTGTCTTATGTGTACTTTTTTGTGTTTATAGGCTGTCTTTTCATTTGGTATAATGTCCTCTGTTGCCCATTTTATTTTATTTTTTTATTTTTTGTATTTTTAGGGAAAGATCTACGGGGTGTTCAGGGTCTCACTACTAGATTGGACTTGTAGTGATCTGCCTGTTTACAGCCTCCCAAGAGCTGGGATTACAGGCATGTGCCACCATGCCCAGTCTCAAGTGCCGTCTCAGCGGGCTCCAGGAGCGGGGCTGACACGGCAGGCCCACGGATCGAACCCCTGGCCCCTGCGCCTGCTTGGAGGCGCTTTAATCCACTGAGCTGTTTGGCTGGCCCTCCCATTTTAAATTTTATGAATTCCAGTTTATGCATTTTATGTCTTTTGTTCCTTATGCTTTCATTGTCCTAAGAATCCATTTGCCAACTCACAGATCATAAAGATTTATTCTTTTGTCTAAGAATGTTACAGTGTTGGCTCATCTGAGTCCTTGTTTTTGAATATATATATATATATATATATATATATGATATTTTCCATGAGACTAGTTATGCCAGTGCCATTTAGTGAGGAGATTGTTTCTTTCTATTGTTGTTGTTTGTAATCTCTCTTTTTAAAATATTGCTCTAGTAAAATCCTTAAGATCACTGGTCCAAGAGCCGAGTGTTGGGATCCAAATCTGCTGTTACTGCTTGCTACCAGTTGACATAGGCAAATTATTTAACTTCCTTACCCCTGAATTTTGTTATATATAAAATAATAGAAACATTAATGACATAGAATTATTGTAATATTCAAATTATATATAAAGCACTTGATTCCTGTCAAAAAGTGATAAATATTAGCAAAAATTAACATTCATTGATATTTGTCATATTTTAAAGATATCTCTGTGTAGTAGCAGCTAAGCCACATTGTATCTATCAAGTCTGGGGTGATATTTTTATTTTCCAAAAGGTAGGATAAAGAATCTGAATGAACTGGATAAATTACAAAACCTTGTATTTGAGTATATACTTACTATATATCAGGGAATTTTTAATGTTATATTAAAATAGTTCCTATTTTATGAATAAAAAACCTGTTAATTAACTTGTTGAAAATATAATTGTATAATAATCAACAGAGATGTAGTTTAAATACGTGCCTGCCTTATTGGAAGATATGTTTCAGTCTGTTGTGACTAATTGTAGGAAAAAACTTAAAAATATAGAGCTTTTCTTCCTTTTTGCAGTTCATGTATTACTGGAGAAATGGGAGGTGAAAAGTTGTGTGTGTGTGCATGCAGCATAAGTGTGTGCCATGTAAAATTGTGTGGTAATGAGTTCTCTGACTATTTTATTGTGATATATGCTCTGGTTAGCTTCGGGTGTAGCATATTTGTACTTGTCTTTTCTCAGTTCATTATATTGATTTGTCAGTTCAGTTCCGTCAATATTTATAATCCATATTTTAATATGTTACACATTTTTTTAGTACATTAAATTGAAGGAAAAATATCTAGCATTTAGCAAATCAAGGTTACTTTTATTTTGTTGTGTCCTCAGTATTTCAAATGGTATCAAAGAATATTTCACGTCCATAAATTTAGGTTTCTTTTGTGGTTCTCTTAGATGTAATAAAGGAACAGAACCGAGAGTTACGAGGTACACAGAGGGCTATAATCAGAGATCGAGCAGCTTTAGAGAAACAAGAAAAACAGCTGGTAAGTGGAACATTAAATTTCAGTTTAATTTTTCAAATTTGGAAATCATGGGTGAAATAATGAGCGGAATAGGAGAATGGTGCGTGGCAGGTGGTAAATGAATTAAATGAGTAGCATTTAATGCTCCTGAGTTTTCTGCTTTACTTTATTGTGTCGTGCTGACTTCTATCGGAATTCTGTGTATTTTGCTGATTATATAATTAGGTTATTCCTGATCTTAAAAATCATCAATGTCTATGAAGAAGTATTTCTTAAAACTACTTTCTTAGTTTATAGCAAACATAAAATAGGTCTGCAAACCGAAAGAGCAATAAAAAAGTTATGTTAACTCTTAGGTATCTACTTGATACTTTAAAATTCACTGTCTCTGACAGTGAGTTTGTTCTGATAGTTTGATCTGATCCATCTTAAATGTTCTGTATACTATGTTTAATGTGTTGTCTTCAATCTTCTATAAAGCTGAATTATTGAGGTCTAATTGACATGCAATAAATTGCATATACCGATATGTACAAAGAAATGCTTGAAATCTGCTCTAGTTAAGTAATGAAAACAGTCATCACCCCCAACAATTTTCTTACACTTTTTGAAATCCTTCCTACCCTCCTTCCCTGTCTCCCTTTTTTTCAGGGAGTCAAGTACAGATTTATCACTACAATTCCTAGAACTTCATAAAAATGGAATAGTGCTAAGTGAGTTTTTCAGTGCTGGGACAAAACACCTGATACGTACAACTTCAAGGAGTAAAATTTTGTTTTGACTCAGTTTTAGTTCGTGATCAGCCAGCACAAAGTCAGCAACATGGCAGAGGGGCCGTAGTGGAGGAGACCTGCCCAGCTCAGGGCAGCTGCGAAGCTCATGTCTGGGAAGGGAACAGCAGTGGAGACAGGAGTTCAGAGGCACACCAGCACTGGCTGCTGCCTTCCTCCGGGTAGTAAATAGTGTAGTTGTTCTTTATACATCTTGGAAGTAAGTGTTTTATCAAGTAATGGTATATATTTTGTAAATATTCCTTCCGAATTCTTAGCTTTGTCTTTTATTTTTCTAAGTTTTTTATTTATTTTTTGAGAAGGGAGTGTTTTATTTTGGTGATTGAATTTTAAAAATTCTTACAAGTTTATTAATATTTTTTCTTCTATGACTAGTACTTTTAGCACCCTCAGCACTAATAGTTAATGCAAAGTCACAGATACTTTGTTTTTTTGGTTTTTTTTTTTTATAAATTATACTTCTAGTTCTTACATTTAAAACTGTGAACCATATTGACTTTACTGTGGTATCAAATGAAGGAACACTTTCAATTTTCACATGGAAATTAAGTTGTTCCAACATAATTTGTTATTGACACCTCATTTGTGTGGAAAATCAGTTGTCCAATGGGTATGGGCATATTTTCTGGGCTCTACACTATTCATTGTTCTATTTGAATATTCTTAATATCAAACTGCTTTTATTGCTCTAATTCATAGTAAATCTTAAAGGTAAGTAATGATTCAATTTCATACTTTTTCATAATTGTTTAGGCTATTTTAGATTCTTAATATTTCTGTATGTGATGCTTTGATTTTTCTGAGCCATGCTTTGTTCTTATAAATATGTAAGTCTCATACTTCCTTTGTACTATTTACCCTAAATAGTGTTTTTTATCGTAAATGTCATTTTAAGAAGGAAGTCAATTTCTGAGGGGTTTTTGCTAGTATCCATAGAGATGCACTACATTTTTGTATGGTTGTCTTGAATCTTGTAACCTTCCTGGGCTTATTGCCCTTCTAGCCTTTTTGGAGCTTGCATGTGTTGTCTGCATAATTATGTCATCGGGAATAAGCAGTCCTTTACATCTTTATAGTTGGTAACTTTTTTCCCTTAGCTTTTTAAACTAGCGAGCACTTCACACCTGTGATGTGGGTCTTTTAGAGAAAGAGTGCTCAGACTGCAAGCCAGAGCCCACTTAGCTACCACCAGCTGGCAACAGTGCGCTGTGATGCAGTGCTGTGCTGCTGGGACCCTGCAGGGCCACTTGGCTCTTGGGCAGCAGGGAGGGCCATGTGTGTCCACTGCAGCACGTGTGCCGTGGCTTGCTGCCGCTGCAGTAGAAACAGTGCGCATTTAGAAGACTAGAATGACAGGCATTCCTAGCATGGCTCTAGTATTACACATAGCTGTCTTTGGTGCAGTTGCTTAGTTCACAGGAGTCAGCATATATAGTTAGTTACGGTGAGAATCCTACCAATTAACTGCTAGTTTCAAAAACCTGCTGGAGATTCTCAGGATCACTGCCTTACCCATCTTGTGTATATAAATGTATGGTTTTTCCCCTGTCATGTTTCCTAGGTTTTCTCCTTGCTCTCTCTTCATTATTTAATTCTTAAATTCTCACTTTCCTTTTCATTGTGTTCTAAGTTTCTATTTTTATGTCTTCTTTTGAGTTCTTAGACTAGGGAGACTATATGATATTTACACACGTAGGTCTGGTTTATTTCACTTATGAGTATATCTACAAGTGGCATCCACTTAAATATAAAGGCTTCGAGTTTATCATTCTTTATAGCTGAGTAATACTCCATTGTATAAAAACACCACATCTTTTTCAGCTATTCCTCAGGTGATGGGCATCTTGGTTGTTTCCAAGATTTGGCTATCACAAATTGTGCTGCTGTAAACATAGGTACACATATATCACTGTGATATAATGTTTTTGGTTCTTCTGGGAAAATTTCTGTTAGGGAGATAGCTGGATTGAATGGTATTTCCAATCCTAGTTTTTTAAGGAGTCTCCATACTGATTTGCCATAGGGTTGCACCAGTCTACATTCCCACTAACAGTGGAGAAGGGTTCTTTTTTCCCCACAGCCTCTCCAACATTTGTTGTTGGTTGATTTCTTCATAATAGCCATTCTTTCTGGGGGTAAGATGGTATCTCAGTATTGTTTTAATTTGCACTTCATGAATGGCTAGTGATGTGGAGCATTTTTTCATATATTTATTAGCTTCTATAATTTTGTCCTCTGAGAAGTGTGTGCTCATCTTGGATGCCAATTTCTGGATTGGGTCTTTAAATTTTAGATCCCTAATGTTTTCTAGTTCTTTATGAATTCTAGAGAGAAGACTTTTTTCTCATTGCTTATTAAGATTTTTTCCCAATTTGTGGGTTGTGTTTTCTTTATGTTGGTAATTTCTTTTGACATACAGAAGCTTCTCAATAAGAGGAGATCCCAGTTGTTAATTCTTTCAGGTTTTACGCATGCAATTTGATTTTTGTTCATGAGCTGTTTGCCTATGTCTTCAAGAGTTCCTCCTACTTTCTCTTTGGACATTTAGTGTTTCTGTTTTAACATTTAGATCTTTAATCCATTTTGACTTTAGCTTAGTGCATGGTGATAGATCTGTGTCAAGGTTTAGTTTCTGGCATGTAGAGAGCCAGTTTTTCCAGCACCATTTGTTAAAGAGGCTGTCTTTCTTCCAGTAAGTATGTTTGACCCCTTTGTCAAAGATAAAGTGGCTGAGTGTGTTAGTAATTGCTTCTGCATCTTTTAATCTATTCCATTGATCCTCATGTCTGTTGTTTTTTTGCTGATACCATGCTGATTTTATCACAGTGGTTTGTAATATAATTTCAAGACTCCTGCCTTGTCTTTGTCGTTCCGGATTGCCTTTTCTATTATAGGTCTTTTCTGGCTCCAAGTAAATTTTAGGAGTGATTTCTCTAGGTCTGTGAGGTTATGTTTGTGGTCGTTTCATAGGGATTGCATTAAATCTGTTCAGCAATTATGAAAGTATGGCCATCTTCACAATGTTGGTTCTTCCTATTCAGGAGCAGGGAATATCTTCCTATTTTTTTGAAATCCTCTATGATCTTTTTTCAGAGTTCTGTAATTTTCATTGACTAGCTCTTCGACTTCTTTAGATTAAATTTCAAGGTATTTCATTTTCCTCGGTGCTATTGTAGAAGATATTGTTTGTCTAATTTCCCTTTCACTGTGTTTGTTATCTGTGTAGAGGAAAGCTATTGACTTTTGGGTATTGACTTTGTATCCTGCTATGCTACTGAATTTATGTATTCTATTAGTTCCTTGTTGAAGTTTTTCGGGGCTTCTAAGTAAAGCATCATGTCATCTGCAAATAATGATAATTTAACTTCTTCTTTACCTATTCTCATTCCTTTTATTTCTCTCTCTTGTGGAATGGCTCTAGCTAATGATTCCAGAAGTAAATTGAATAGGAATAGTGGTAGAGGACATTCTTGTCGTGTACGAGATCTGAGAGTAAAAGATTTCAATTTTTCCCCATTTAGAATTATGTTAGAGTAAAAGATTTCAGTTTTTCCCCATTTAGAATTATGTTAGCTGTTGGGTTGTCATAGATGGCTTTTATCAGATTGTAGTAGAGGCCATCTGTGTAGGAATTTGAACATGAATGAGTATTGGACTTTGTCAAAGGCCTTTTCTGCTTCAAGATGATTATGTGGTTTTTGGATTTGGCTCTGTTGATACAGTGTATTGCATTTATAGATTTGCATATATTGAACCATCCTTGCATCCTTGGGATGAATCCTACCATGTCATGGTGTATAATCTTCTTGATGATATTAATGAACATACTTTGTATAATTCTTCAGTCTTGTTCTCTGATGGAGAAGATGGAATGTTTTGATGATTGCTTATGGCATACTTAGAAATAATTTATATTCTGTTAGTGATAAAATTTTTTCTATATATATATATATATATATATATATATTTATGTTTTCTATATCACTCCCTTTTGGGGGGGTATAGTAGTTCCCCCTTATCCACAGTTTTACTTTCCATAGTTTCTTTAACCCATGATCAACTGTTCTGAAAATATTAAATAGGAAATTTCAGAAATACACAGTTCATAAATTTTAAATTGTACACCATTCTAAGTGGTGTGATGAAATCTCATACTGTTTCATTCTGTCCTATGAGGAAATTGAATCTATCTGCACTATGTATACCTGTGGGTCACTTAGTAGCTATTTGGATTAATAAATCTGTTACCCAGTATTTCATTGCTTGTGTTCAAATAACCCTTATTTTACTTAATAATGGACACAAAGCACAAAAATAAGGATGCTGGCAATTCATGTATGATGAAAGAAACCATAAAGTTCACCTTTAAGTAAAAAGGTAACAGTTTGTCATATATATATATATATATATATATATAGTAAAAAATACTATACACATATATATATGTATCTATAAACATAGATATGTGTTTTATGTTTGCTGTTTCAAATATCAGTGAGGACTTGGGATGTCTCCCCTATTTTTATTTTTTATTTATTTATTTATTTTTTTTAATAACTAGTTTTTTTATTTTTTAACATTTATTTATTTATTTATTGTGTGTGTGGCCAGCTCAGCCCACCAGGGGGCGGGGCTGGCTGGCATGTGGTGCTGGGGGATCGAACCGCAGTCCCTGTGCTTTACCAAGCTTGTTCCAAGTAGGTGCGTTAGACCACTGAGCCATCTCGCCAGCCCCTCTCCCCTATTAATAAAACGGAACTACTACACTTGTAACAGTTATGACAGTGTTCTTAGGAGAGACGTTATGGATACTTCTCATGCTAATTGTATAGTTTTCTATTTCTCTTTTCAGTTCTGTTAATGTGCTTCATTCATGTTAAAAGACTTTCAATTTTTTGTACATAAATACATTGGTTCCTTCTTCATTAGGAAATGCTCCTTGTTATTTCTGGTAATATTCCTTGTTCCCAAGTCTTATTTGATCAGATATTATTGTTTTGTGGTATTTTTTGTTTGTTTTTGTACCAGGGATTGAATTCAGGACCTAGCCTTGCCAGGCAGAGACTTAGGCCGGCAACTAATATTACCTGTTTCTACTTTACATACAGCTTTGCTTTTATGTTTAATATTGATGTTTAGATAGCATATTTGGTTTGTGTTTTTAGCCAGGCTGGTGGTTTTAACTTTTAATTGAGGTTTCGAAATGGGCCATTTCATGAAATGTCATTTTTTGTTTTAATTCTGTCACCTTTGGCCTTAATTGTTCTGTCCCACTGACTCTTCTTCCTATCTTTTTGGATTAAAAAAAAAATTATTATATTCTGGGATCAGTGTATGTACTGTGTTTTATGCTTATTTTATGCAGTAAGTTTCTGTCTTTTTTTTTGTTTTTGTTTGGTGCTATGCATCGAGCTCAGGACCTTGAGCTTGCCAGGTGGGAGCTTCTGCTTCTGAGCTGTCCCTCCGGCCTAAGTTTCTGATTTATGAAGATTCTAATTGTGAAGCTCCATAGATGTGCTGTAGAGAGTTCACAGGCGTACTCTGCTTAAGATGCACTGTGCTGGGTTACAAATACATCTGATTTATGAATGTTCTCTCAGAACAAAATTCATTCATAAGTTGGGGACCGACTCTATTCCTGGATGGAAGTATTAGTTACTTGTTTTCCATGGGAACATGTAGAATAAATAACCTTCTTCAATTACTCTTTCTCTGTGACTTTATTGTACGTAGTCTCTTGTAAGTGGAAAATGTATTTTTCATTTGTATGTTAGATCTGGTCTTCAGAAATACATTATGGAGGACTCTCAATAATTTTATTCCTCTTATTTCCTCTCTTAGGAATTAGAAATTAAGAAAATGGCCAAAATTGGTAATAAAGAAGCTTGTAGGGTTCTAGCCAAACAGCTTGTACATCTTCGGAAACAGAAAACAAGAACTTTTGCAGTAAGTTCAAAAGTGACTTCTATGTCTACACAAACAAAGGTGATGAATTCTCAGATGAAGATGGCTGGAGCAATGTCTACCACAGCAAAGGTAATTGAGGGCCTGCTCTCCAGTTTTATTATGTTATGAAAGATACTTAACCGTGAACTATTCAAGAATTAGATTTAAAAATGCTTTCTAGTAAATATGTGATGCAGAATCTTAATTTTTATGAAGAGGAGAGTTTTTGGTTTTTTTGGTGGTACCGGGGATCAAACTCAGGACCTTGTGCTTGCCAGGCAAGCATGTACTGAACTATCTCCCAGCCCCCTAGAATCTTAATTTTTAGTAAAATCACTTATAACATTAGATTGCCATGGTAATTGTGTCAAGATTCTCTGTTGATGTTTTAGTACAGAATAAGAATACGTGCACTGGGGGCGAGCGAGATAGCTCAGTGGACTGAATCAGCTGCTTAGGCAAGCTCCAGGACTGTAGTTGGATCTCTGACACCATATGCTGCGCCAGCCCTCCCCTATGGTGGGCTGAGCAGGCCAGAGTCCTGGCATGTTGGCCTATACCTGTAATCCCAGCACTTGGGAAGCTGAAAGCAGGAAGATCACCATGAGTCTGAGCTGCATAGTAAGATCCTGCAACAACCAAATATATTTTAAAAGAATAACAATAAGATAAAAATAAAGCAAAGAATATGTCCATTTTCCCAAGAGCACAAGGGAGCATTGGAGTTTACAAAATTGACTTTAAATTGTATTGTTTTTAAAAAATGATAAGTTTCTGCAAATTGTCATAGTTTTTATTAAGTTATAGCTGATTAATTATGAGTAATTTCTCATGTGATTCACTTGTATATGTGTGTTAGAAGGGCATATATATATATATATATATATATATATATATTTTTTTTTTCTGTATTTTTTTAGGGAAGGGTCTATAGGGTGTTCAGACTCATAGTGATTCTCCTGTTTATAGCCTTCCATACGATGGGATTACAGGCGCAATTGCTGTCTCAGCTTGCCCCAGAGGCAGAGCCAGCACCGCAGGCCTGGGGATCGAACCCTGGCCCCTGCGCCTGCTTGCAGCCTGCTTGCAGGTTCTTTAATCTGCTGAGCTATTTGGCCAGTCCTAAGATGATGAATTTTTCTTTTCTTTGTGGTACCAGAGATCAAACTTGCTCATGCCAGTCAGGCACTTGTGCCACTGAGCTGGCTCCCCAGCCCAGACATAAATATTTTCAACAGCATAACATAACATATTTTGGAGTCTATATTAACTTACTGTTTTGTTTTCTTTATTTTTCTAGTGTTTTTGACCATAGAATTTAAAGAAACCTGTGCCCTTCAGTGGGTTAATAATTCCTTGATATACATACCTTATATTTTGTTCAAAAGTGGTTTAAAACGAAGGCCTCGCATTCATGCATGTTTACACGTCAGCATAGGAGGGTAGCTTAACATAGATCCGAATGAGGAACTGGCTTCTCTTCATCGGTCTGTGCCAAGCTGGTTGAACTGCGCAGATATTTGAACAGGTGGTCAGAGAGATGGTATAGACTTTGGTCTCAGCAGTGTCATGAAGTGTTGGATATAGGAAAGAGAGTGTGTGAATATGAAAAGCAAAAGGAAAAATAATCCACAGAGAGAAGTATTTGAAAGTAGTTGTCTTATTTTCTTATCATGAAGATATGATAGCTGACACACAGCTTACAGGAAGAGAGTTCTATTTTGGGTTCACAGATTCAGTAGTTACAATCCATGGGTTGTAGTCTTCAAAATAAAACTAACATGGAAGGGTCTGTGTGGAGGAAGCTGCTCATGCCCTACTTCCTAACAGCAAGTTAACTGTGAACTTAGCAGTTACAGGGAGCTTCTTTTGGGGTCCCCAGATCTAAAAGCCCCTCCCCTGGTACCCAGAAGACTTAGGTTCATCTTATGCAGAATGCATGTAGTCCATCTCTACGAGTTGTCAAAGTGTTGTTAACAGTTTGAAAAGTCCAAATCTAAAGTCTCCTGTGAGACTCAAGGAAGCTCTTAGCTCTGAGTCTCTGTAAAATTTAACAAGTACGTGGGCCTGGTGACATGTGCCTGTGATTCCATTATTTAGGGGGCTGAGGCTGGAGGTTCACCGTGACTTTGTGACCATTCTAGCCTACATAGTGAGTTGAAGGTCAGTGTGAATTACAAAGTGTAATACTGTCTCAAAACTACAAACAAACAAACAGACAAACAAATGAACTGTAAATATTGCCCATATAGAATGACATAGGGTAACACTCCTTTCTAAAGGGAGAAATAGGGCCTAAAAGCAAAGGGACCAAAGTGAGGCTGAAACTCAAGCTGGGAATCTTAGGGCTTTGTAGGCCAGCTTCTCTGTAAACATTTCCAACTCCTTCCACATACCAGTTCCATAGGCTTCTGAGCTGCATGATCAGGTGTATTTATCATGGTAATAACCCCACGATCAGTACTGAAGTCTGAATTAGTCACACTTGCATCACAGAGACGCAGTACCCAACATTGACAGTGTAGAGGAAGAGAGGTTTATTTTGTGTCACAGACTCAGACATTTCAGTCCATGGTGGGTAGCCCCAGGGCAGAAGTGGCAGGATGGAAGGGTCTGAAGCTGCTGACAGCACTGTGGTGAGGAAGCACAGAGAGAAAGGAGGAGCTAAGGAGGCAGATAGACTGTTGCGGTCACACCCCTGGGGTCTCCAAACAGACCCCTTCGCCCTGTAAGGTCAGGCACGTTGTGCTCTTGCAGAGCACCCCGATCCAAACTGTAAGGAGGGCATAGTAGATTGTTGTTAATTATTATACTTATGAGAACAATGAAATAGCAAATATTGCACCATTGTTCCTGTGGGAAATACAGGGCTACATTTTTGGAGGCTTAGTTCACAACGTTTTCTTCAGTCAGTTTGCATCCATCCTTGTCTTTATGTGTTTCTGTTTAAACATACATATTGGGGCTGGGGAGATGGCTCAGTAGTATAAGGGCTTCCCTGGCAAGTGCAAGGGCCTGAGTTCAATCCGCAGTCCGCCCCCCCAAGGATAAACATACTATATGTAATTTATGTTAAAATATATAACATGTCATTTTATAGTGTTACTATCTCAGTTCATGAACATAATTCATTCCATGGTTCCTGGGAAGATGGCCACATTCGTGGTTTTCATCACCCAGTGCAGAGTTCATGAGTGGCTGAACTTCTGTGTGTGAACCGAGTTGCTCACGAAGAGAAGCGTTCATGAACTGAGGTACATCTGTATATGTAAACTGAGTCATTGCCATTGAGCACGTGGCCCGTAGTGGTGTGCTTCATGCCTGAACAAATGCTGCTCACTTGTATTTCTCCATAAGGCAAAATAATTTCTTCCACTTGAAACTTTAGGTAGCATATTAATGCTATGATTAGTGACCATTTTGAACAGTAAAATCTTTGAAAGAAATGAGAAAAATGTGCACTCGGTAGACTGAGACATGATGTTCATGTACATGACAGCGAGGATACAAAAGCCAGAGCCTCGTCTTGTTTGAAACACTCTTAGTGAGTGGTAGGGTTTTTGCTGCTCTTCTCATGTTGCCAGTGAGAAATTAAGCAAATGTAGCAAGTACTGATTTACCAATAAATTTTAGCAAGTAGGCAGATTCATGAGCATCCCCTTAATGGATGTTTATATTATAAAGTGCACAAAAGGAGAATGTAGTAACACGGTATGTGTGTTAAAGAGAAAAACTTTTAGAATAATGGATCTTATTTTACAGCAAAAGTATACAATTACTGGCAAAATTTTTGTCTTCCGTGTTTTGGTCTAACAACTAAATACCTGCTTTAAAGAAAGATCGTATCTGAGGATCACATAGATAGGCTATGAGGCTATTTCATACTCATGAAATTTTCTGCTAGAGATGAGTTGAGTAAAGATACCTGATATAGAGCTGTCTCACGTGGAATCTTAATTAAATTTCTTAGAAATGCGTCAGCTTAGCACAGATGTAGCTTTTCTGTGCCTTCATTCTCCTTTTGTAATATAAGGAAAGTGGTAGTACCTACAATATAAAGTTTTGTCAGCTTTAAATGGCATTTAACTTTAATATCATCATATATAAAGTGATTAAAACAGTGTCTATCTTAAAATACTATTTTATCGTATTATCTGTTCTGTCATTACCTTCCTCATTATTGTTGTTAGTGCCATTATAATAGTGTAAGTTGCAACTAAAGTAATATAATTTAAAACAAATGAAAATTTTCGCTAATAGGCTATATAAGGGTGCTCATTCTAGTCTGTGGCGTCAGGCTGCATCCCTGATGAAGAGCATTTAAGCTGAAAGCTGAAGTACCAGCAGTGCGGATGGGCAGAGAAGAGCACTGCAGTTTGGACACTGGATGTGTATGGCAGGACAGGAATAGAAGGTCAGAATGCTCAGGGGAACAGTGCCAGCCACACTGCCTTTGAAACATTTTAGTTGATGTTACATCTCACAAGCGCATCGTGGAATTTGACTTTGAATAGTAAGAATGATAGGAAGGCCCTCGAGAATAGGGGGCTATGGGTGTAGAGCAGCTTTCTCATTGATGAAACAGTCTCTGACACCTGCAATGTAGAGGAGGAGAGATGGAACCTGGCTCACAGTTTTGGGAGTGTCCGTGGCCAGCTGGCTTCCAAGCAAAAGCACGGAGGGGAATGGTGGAGGAAGGCTGCTCACCCCCATAGCCAACGGCCAGGAGGCGGATAAAGGGGCGCTGCGCGCAAGGACACCCACTTCTGGGCCACACTCCCAGTGCCCCGCTGCTCAGCCACCTCCTAGCAGCACACTGTTTTGAGCTGTCAGGGGCTTAGTGCACTGTTACCTGCAGCTCCAGCACGATGCAGTCAGCTTCCCAAGGAGCACATAGGCCTCGGGAAGCATTTTATAGTTAAGCCGTAGGTGAGAAGTTCGCTTCAGCGACACTGTACACATAGATTGTGTCGAGAATGTTTTCTGTTCTATCAAGTTGACAGTAAATGCATACATGTATGTGATTCATCATGTGTATATAAGGCAGCATATATATATGTAAATTTTGCCCATATTAGACAGGTTAATCTCTTTTAATGAAGTAAATACATAAGAGAATTCTCACTTTTTTTTTTTTTTTTTTTTTGCGGAACTGGGGATTGAACTCAGCCCCTTGTGCTTGCCAGGGAAGTGCTTACTCTACTGAGCCAATTCCCCAGCCCTTACGCATTTTTATAAAGCAATTTTCTTAGGTCAAGTAGGGTATAAAGTATATTAATAGATTAAGTATGTGTGCTAGTATAATCTCTAATTTTTTTTCATGTATACTCTATAAACTTTGTAATGAAAATTAATGAAACTTAAAAATTCTTTCAAATTTATTCATTACCAAGTTCCCACATAATAGGTAAATTTAGTATTCTCATTTGAATAGCAATGTGTTTTATGTTGATAATGTTTTTTGCTATATAACTTTTGTAGAGTGTTCAGATGCATTTTTTGAAGCTAGTCTTTATGATATAGATGTTAAACAGATGGTGTGTAAGGGAATACTTTCTTCCAGAGTATTTAACATTTTATTTGTATTAAAACCGGATGTGTACCTTTTAGAATCCTGTCTATATTTCATGTATTCCCTCTGGTTTTATTCTATAATAAAAAAGTTGTAATAGCTGACATGAAGTTTTTTCGTATTTTTGAAGACAATGCAGGCAGTGAACAAGAAGATGGACCCACAAAAGACGTTGCAAACAATGCAGAATTTCCAGAAAGAAAACATGAAAATGGAAATGACTGAGGAGATGAGTAAGTTTAAGAAGATATAATGAAATATTCAGTTTCCTCATCTCTAAGTTAGCCAGATTCATTTGCTATCATTCTTCTCCTTCATGAAGAAGGCAAAATAATGAGACTGGAAGTGGTCGAGCAAGCTTGTAGGCAGACTTTTATAATACTTTCGGTGTATTCTTACATCAGAACTATTTACAGCTCACAGTTCTAGTATTGTTTAACTGACAGAAAAGTTTAGAATGTTGTGTTACATACATATTATATATTGGTCTCAGCAGTCTTATTTTATTGATTAGTATACCAAAAAAAAATGTGAATTTTTTTTCTCATATAAATGAGGTAATTCCAGAATTGTACTGCCTCTCTCATACTGTAGATTTATCTCTGGTAGAGATAGCGTAAATGGAGCTGTTCCTTTTTTTTCTCTTAATACATAATTTAATATTTAGGGTTTTTTTTTGTTTGTTTGTTTGTTTTTTGCAGTACCAGAGATTGAACTCAGGACCCTGTGCTTGCCAGGCAAGCACTTATTCAACTGAGCTATTTCCCCAGGCCTGGGTTTTTTTGTTTGTTTATTTGTTTGTTTGTTTTTTTCTATATAAACTGATTACATGTTACAGTAGGAAAACATACACTATAAATTTGACATTTAAACGTCATCTAGCTTAACACCTCAGATATAGACAATATACTTTTCTTTCCTGTATTTTCCTATAGCTATAAAAGAGATCAGGTTATATATATATATTCATGAATTGCAAATTGCTCTTCAAAAATATAAAAGTATAAGCATATACTCATAACATTAATCTAGGTCTTTCTCTTTCTTTCTTTTTTTTTTTTTTTTTTTATCAGAACTGGGGATTGAACTCAGGCCCTTGCGCTTGCTAAGGAAGCGCTTATTCCACTGAGCCATCTCCCCAGCCCCTCTAGGTCTTTTTCTTAAAAATAATTTATCAGATTTATTTCACATAAATTATGGTTTCAGGGCACATCTATTTTCCTACAAATAACTTGTTTAGTATTACATGTTATTGGTATACCTTACTTTATCAAAATCTTTCCTGGATTTATCAGTAAGATAATTTTTTTCAAAGTGTTTGATTATTTTTTAAAGTATGTTTATGTATTGTCTTGTATTTCTTTAATCTTCTGTGAGTATTAACTAAGCTTTATACAACTTTTGTTTATTACTACTAAATTTGTCCCAGAGAAACCACACCCATACTTGTTTGGCCAGTGGTTAAGGAGTAGGTCTTCACCCCACCCCGGTCAGCATTGAATCACTGCTTGCATATCACAATTTTGCATCATTGTTTTGCAAAGATATTTCTTGTTTTACAACTGTGTAAGGACATACCAGTTTATCTGCTTGTCTACTGACATTTTAGTCTCATAGCTTTTAGTGTGCAAAACAATATGTATTTAAATTGCTAGGATTTCCATATTGACTATTGCTCTAATATTTTATTTGAGGGTATGTTTTTCTTCTAGGATATAATAATACTGTATGTATGTACATCTTCAATAGTTCCAAAAGTTTTTAGTTTTTACTTCAGGGCTTTACTTTGAAAAATAATGACATTTTCTAAACTTCAAGACATTGTCAACTTTTAGTAGCTGACATTTGTGTGGTGATCAGATCACAGTATCTAATGTGTTAATGTGATTTCTAATGCTAGCACAATGTGAGCAGGTTTAAAAAAAACATTTATCTAGAAGTTTATGTCTGGAGTGTGCCGATCAGATTCTGCTAATGGCTCTCTGGCTTCAAAATATCACACCAGCATCATTGATCCGAGACAGTTTTTCTTGTTAGCACAGCTATGTTTATTGCCAGGGAAAAGCCGAGCCCTGTAGAGGCCTCTCTCCAAAGTGGCAGGGTACTGAGTGGAAGAATTCAGATTCTAATCCACCTCTTAATATTCACTTGATTTCCTCAGAGATTGTATTCCATGCTATTTTATTTTTTTTAATACATAAGCTCTGTACTCTTTTCTAAATTTTATAGTATTTGAGCTAACAAAATAGCCGATTTTCAAATTACGTTTATATGTCAGATGTCATTGCTGATACCAATTTTTTTTTTTTTTTTTTTTTTTTTTTTTGGCGGAACTGGGGATTGAACTCAGGCCCTTGCACTTTCCAGGCAAGTGCTTTTTCTACTGAGCCACCTCCCCAGTCCCATCAATGTTTATTCATGTCAAGGATACGGGCAATATCTAATGCACAGGTAAAGCAGGAAAATACCCGGGACAGCACAGGTGATGCTTTGTGTTCGCTTCTGTGTCAGAAGACCTCCGACCCGCAGTCTGGGTAGCACAGCTCACCCATCTCTAATGAGGCTGCTTATAGTCTTACATTACAGGGTCATTTAGGTTCTGAAACACCTCCAATGTATTCGTTCCTCACGCAGTCTCTTAGCCTCCCGTGACATTCACCAGGGATTCTTGGCTCATTAAATTTGTAGATTATAGGTTTGTTACTCTTGCAGCCCTATGCTAAGGCTCCCTGCTAGGAGCATCCCATGGATAAGGAGTATGTGCATAGCCGCTATTTCGTCTTTTACCTCAGGCCTCACAATATGGTAGGCAAGTGTTCTGGCAAAATGATTACAAGGAGATCAGACTCAGTTACTTGTCTTCCTTTCTCTGTAATTACCTCCTTGAGTAATCAGGGGAGCTGCTGTTACAGGCCCACTGCTTATATTGTTTTTCCATCCTGGACGTTTTCTGTTCGTGTACCTTGTGTGCATCCCTGTTGTCTCACCAACGCCATATCTTTGTTGGTCAAATTGTATGCGTCCTTCCAGGACTGTCACATGTTATTTCTAGTTGAATGTAGCCTTTTCTCTCTGAAACTTGTAGAAGCATTTATCATTTTATGTACTACAGTGTGTTGTATTTTTTTCCTACTGAAAATGAACTAAATTCTTCATTTTTCTCCATCTCTTTTTGTTGTATTTTTATTGCATGTGAAGTACTCAGGTGTCTGATGTCAGAGATAAATAAGACTTAATTCCAGGCCTTTGAATGTCCTTTTAACTCAAACCAACATGATTCCCAGTATATAGAAGGCATTTAATAAGTACTTTAAGGACGGAAAGAAGAAAGGATTAGAGTAGTAATAGTCTTATAAGGTTAATTGGACTTTTTTGTGGCAAATTTAATAAAATATTGATGCTTTAACTTTATTAAAATAGTCTACTTATATCGTGAGTATAAATTTAAGAAGTACAAACATACAATTATATGTATAAAAGGAGTAATTTGTCATCTAAAAAGTAATAGGAATTTTTTTTTTTTTTTTCCTGGCTGGGTCTAACAGCTCTCAGCTCAATGGATGTAATTTTAAATATAAAAGTCTGATGCCTACGGTTGTGAATATCACATAGGTCTCATTTATAAAATAGATTTTTGTTTTTTCCATGCTAAGGATCAAACCTTGGGCCTCACAATATGGTAGGCAAGTGTTCTACTGAGCTTACACTCAAGGTAAAATTAAAAGGAAAAAATCAAAATCTGCTCCTTTTGTTAAAGGCTATTGGGTATTGAAATGAACATTATTCCAAATGTAGTAGCTTAGAAGTGTATTTATCCACATGCTTTATTGATGTTTGAAATATGTTTGTTGTTTTACCCAACTTTGGCTTTTGTAATATAAAAAACAGTGTATATTATTTTCTAAAAATATGTCAGGCCGGCAATCTCTTTGAAAGTAACTGCTTTTTTCTACCCTTCCTCCACCAAGTCAATGACACACTTGATGACATTTTTGATGGCTCTGATGATGAAGAAGAAAGCCAAGATATTGTAAATCAAGTTCTTGATGAAATTGGAATTGAAATCTCTGGAAAGGTATGCACGTTGTCTTTTCTGTCTGCCACGTGATTATTTCAGGTTGTATTTTAGTGTTAAGTGTTTTTAGACTTTTTTCAAAAGTAAGTTACTTTGTAACATATCCTTTGTGTTATAGCCAAAATGTTTACTCATGTGTGTTTTTGTCCTTAATTTTTTCTGTGTTCCTCTCTTTAACTATGTAGATGGCCAAAGCTCCGTCAGCTGCCCGAAGCTTACCGTCTGCCTCTGCTTCAAAGGCTTCAATCTCCGATGAAGAGATTGAACGGCAACTCAAAGCCTTAGGAGTAGATTAGGCAAAAAAGTTGTTTTTGCTTACTTATAATTATGTAGGATAAAGGAAGAACGATGCAGATTCCTTGTACAAAATACATTTATTTTGAAAAATGAAGAACATAAGTGAAGAGTTGTTTCCTATCCCATGGCTATTTTGAATCTTTTGCCAAAGAATGATAATGATATAAAGATGGAAATGGTTTGAATTTTAATTAGAACTATTTAGGAGTGTGATGTATAACAAGTTGACTTCTCTTCTGCGTGGCCTAGAGCAATTATATCTATTACTCAGTGTCAGTTCATGTTCTGAATCTTTTCACCTTGAATACAAAATTCCTGTTAGATGCCACTAAGCTCCAGCTTTGAAAAGACTTGTAAAAATAATAAAAGCGTATTACTAATTCTGTATCTGTTGCTTAGGCTTTGTAAGCAGTTATGTTTTATGACCATAGGCAGTTCAGCTGTCAAATTATTTTTAAATGATCTAAAAGAAGAGTGCTATTTAAACATCTGTCTTAAAACTGTCATTTGCGTTTCTTTTTGTTGTTTTTTTCCCTTTGGGAGAACATTCTAGTTGGTAAGTTATTACCTTTCAGAATGTACTTGGCACACGCCTTATGCAGCACGAACATTTTGTACACGTATTTAAATTACTTTAACTGGCAGAAAAGAATTAGTTTTGAACAAAAATTGAGATCACTTGCAACCATTATTTGGGCTATTTGTACATCATATTGAAGTGAATTGAATATAATTAGCAAAAAGCTGAATTAATAACATTTATTATAATGAAACTATCTTGATCTTTCTTCCAAGAACTGAAATTTTTCTCCATGTGAACTACAGCTTAATTTCTGTTCACTTTAGACTTGTATTCATGTGCTGAACTCTCAGTTAAGTCATTATTTTTGATTCCTACCGCCATGACAATACATGACCTAAATTTTTAAAATAAAAGTTTAACTCCTTTTGGTAAATAAACTACAATTTTGTCAGAAATTACTGGCTAAATGTGTATTACTGTGTCCACAGTATATTTTAAGTAAAATACGGCATTTTATATAGAGAGAGGGGAAGATGAAAATGGAGTGCTACATTAG